AATAGGGTTGTTTTGTAGAGATCAGCAGTGCTATAAAATCAGTTTGGAAGTATGTCAAATAAAAGCCTGGTCTGCTTTTGTATCAGGGAGTAGTTTCTTTGTTGTGTGAATTCTGTGTACCCTCAGAATTGCCAGTGATAGGCACTGGTCTCTGTTACATCCAAACCTGCAGGAAAACCTATAAGTAAGTCTGCTTCTGATAAAAATTCCCTATCCATCATGAATGTAACCCCACTTTGATGGGTTTCAAACTAATTCCAGATGGGTAGGCATGTCATCTGCGGTAGCAAAATGAAAGCGGAATCCAGAGTACCTTAAAGACGAATGGAATTTATTCTAGGGTAAGTTTTTGTGAGTCGGAGCTCACTTAATGCATATTTCTGCTGGTCTTTGAGGCAGGGGTCCCGAACCTTGTTGAACCTGTAGGCACATTTGAAATTTTAAGAACAGGTGGTGGGCACCACAAGAAAATGGCTGCCACAGAGTGGGTGGGAGGGACCAGTCACAAAAAGGTTGCCATGGGGGCTGGGTCCAATCTCAAAACCACAGGGTGGTTATGCGGATCAGTGGAAAAGCAAGGAACTGCCCTGAGGAAGAGCAGGATGGAATTACAGTTGTGGAGACAAACCTGTAACTTGATTGCATGCTTCAGGCTGCAGGCTAAGGCTAATATAACTGAACACTCTAAGAGCAGTGGGGTTATAGGTGGATATTTTTAGAGTATAGAATGTTAACTGCTGTATTGTTTTTGTGATGGGGTCCCTTGTATTTTCAGAAGGGTGTTTGTGAAAGTTTTGCGATTCCTCCTAAACTGTCAAGAGGAGGTGCTGTCTGAGTTAAACTTCAAACATTGCTGCAGTGGTGGTTTTAAAGTTCAAGATTATAAGTAAAACTAATTTGTTTTGCTGTAGCTGTGGTGTCACATTCCTTCGCTGCACCTGGGGGAGGCTAGAACCCAGATGAGCTTTGCAAAGCAGCCGCCGCCACCAGTGCTAATTCTGTTTCCAATCCTGATTCCAATCTGTTTTCTCCTAAGGTAGTGGAATGAAAAGATGAGCAAGATAATAGTTTTGGTGGCTTTGCTGAGCCTGAGCTTGACCTTTGATCAAGGCAGCACTCGTAAGCAACCAAGCGTTTTCCGAAGAATGTTTAAAGGAATAAAGTGTTCCACACCGATAAGAGGGGATCCCGGACAACCACTGTTTTTGACTCCTTATATTGAAAGCGGCAGAACTGAGGAAGGTAAAATGAGTTTTGTTAAACTTAGAGAATATTTGTTAATGTTTCCATCTTTTCCTCAGAATATTTCTGCAATGATCATATTCTGCATTCATGTCCTGTTTGGAATTATTGCCAGGAACTGTGCTTTAATTCCTCATTTGACTATTTTTACCGGAGATTTATGTATGTATTTTCTTCATTTATACCCTACCTTTCTTCTCGGGGGGGGGGAGTGGCTGATGTCATTCGCCTCTCCTTCATTTTATCCTCACAACAATCCTGTGAGGTAAGTTAGGCTGGCCCTGACCTTGTTAGCCTAGGTTAGCCTGATCTAATCAGATCTAGGAAGCTAAGCAGGGGTGGCCCTGGTCAGTATTTGGATGGAAGACCATCAAGGAATACCAGGGTTGAAACTCAGAGGCAGGCAGTGGGAAACCACCTCTGAATGTCTCTTGACTTGAAAACCTCATGGAGGTCACCATAAGTCAACTGTGATTTAATATTGTGGGGGGGGGAGAGTTACGGTGAGACTCTGATTCTCACAAGGTCACCCAGCAAGCTTCCATGGCAGAGTGGGAATTTGAAACTGGCTTCTGCAGATCCTAGTCCAAAAGTTTAACTACTGTACCAGAGACATTTGCTTTAAATTAGCCACAGTGGAAGAAGAAGAAGAGATTGGATTTATACCCCGCCCTTCACTACCCAAGGGAGTCTCAGGGTGGCTTAAAAACTCATTTCCCTTCCCCTCCCCACCCCACCCCACTCCACAACAGACACTCTGTGAGGTAGGTGGGGCTGAGAGTGCTCTGACAAACTGCTCTTTCAAGGACAGCTCTGACAGAACTATGGCTTGCCCAAGGTCATCCAGCAGCTGTAAGTGGAGGAGTAGGGAATCAAACTCAGTTCTCCCAGATTAGAGTCCGCACACTTAAACACTACACCAAACTGGCTCTCCATTGGAGATGGTTCTGTAACATATCCTTTTTGTGATGTTGGTTAATTTGTGTGATTTTTACATTATCTTGTAGTCATAAAGCACTTGAGGTCATACTAAATTGGTTACATTGCGAGTACACATTTCTGTTCTGAACCTGGTCTTAGGAAAGTGGCAGAAGGTTAGTCTTGGCTGACATCACTCCCCCACTCTGGTTCTGTTGTCGCTGTTGCCATTGATATAATCATCTTCCCAAGGCCTGCTCTTTGTGGTCCTGCCTGGCACTCACTGGCCCAGTTTGCAAGTATAGTACTTACTAAAGCTAAAAAATGCCTTTAATTGCCAGTGCATCTCTAGTGTGGTGTGGTATGGCCAGAGTCTTCTTTCAAGACAAGTCTGACAGCCCATGGAGGGAAGGGTGTAAACTCACCCGTTTTTCTCACTTTAGTCCAAGTCATTACACTGAATGTGTGGTTGCCTCTTGTAGCTTGAATTTTGAATTGTTTGCTAAGCCAAGAAAATGGACTTTATTCCCAGGGCTGCGCTCCCAACTTTTGCTCTGCCCAAACAAGTATTTTCTTAGCCTAATATTTTTCTAAGCTGATCGGTATTTCTTCATTCTAGGTATTTGCAGAAAAGCAGGTAGTTTCCAATAGAGTAAATATATCTTTTAAATATTTTGCCTATTGCCATAAGTGAAGAGTGACTATATGCTGACTATCCCTGCATTCTTGAACACTTCTTTATATGGCTGTTTGTATTTGTAAATAATTGACTTGATTTTTGTGGTTGTGCTGTTTGTCATTCTGTAGGAAGGCAATTAAGCCTGGTAGGCCTTCTCCCAGGAGACAACGTGAAGAGCTACTCTGGCTATCTCACAGTCAACAAGACTCACAACAGCAACCTTTTCTTCTGGTTCTTCCCAGCTCAGGTAGGTCTCATTTGAAACGCTGCGAAATTAAAGAATTCAAAGTTAGTTTTTTAAAAATATAATTGTAGGAGAGAGTGGCTTCCAGGGCCAGATGTTGGCTCTGTGTCATGATTAGTGTGATTGTAAGTCAACATGGTTGAGCCTGAAGAGGAGCAGCCACCTCCTACTCTCACTCAGGAGATACAAAATGGCCTCCATGGCAACCATAGGCCTCAGTGAGAGCTGTGGAGTTGATAGAGGAGGTCTTCATGAAGCTTGCTGAGAAGACCTTGAGCAAGACTCACTGGCTCTAGAGGCAAATGTCCCAGTCACTCAAGCAAACTGAGGGAGCCTGCTGCTGGCTCACACCCTTATCAGGAGGTATGCTGTTATGAGTTTTTTGAGGGACAAAACAGCAGGTAAACAAGGTAAGTGTTGGAAGTGGATGCAGTGTTTCTGTGTACAGAGTGTATGAGAATTCCAGAGGGTGGAGCCAGAGCTAGTAAGGTAGGTCAGCTTCCACTGTATCCTTCCTCTTGTCTGCTATTCTGCGTTCTTCTTGTTTACCCGGATTGATATGTTTCTTAAAACAACCAGCCTGGAATGGACGTTATGCCTAGGGCTGTATCCCCACCTTTTGCGCTGCACAAACAAGCCGTTAGCTAACAGTAATTACAGATGTTACTCATGAGTAAGTGGAGAACCTACCAACTCTCCCTGATCTAAATGAAAAAAAGACATTTCACTAGTCAATGATGACTGGGAGCCCCAACATATTATCTACAGTTGCATAGCCAATCAGAATTTTACTCTGACGGTGATAAAAGTTGCATCGTCTTGTGATCAGTGTGGATGTTTCTCGATGGGCAGTCTACAAAGGATGGCTATTGTATGAATGGATCCAGGTGGGTAGTTGTGTTGGTCTGAAGCAGCTGAACAAAGTTTGAGTCCAGTGGCACCTTTAAGACCAACAAAGGTTTATTCAAGTTATAAGCTTTTCATGTGCATGCACACTTCTTCAGATACAATGAAATTTCATTGTATCTGAAGAAGTGTGCATGCACATGAAAAGCTTATAACTTGAATAAACCTTTGTTGGTCTTAAAGGTGCCACTGGACTCAAACTTTGTTCAGCTGCTTCAGACCAACACAACTACCCACCTGGATCCATTCATACAATAGCCATCCTTTGTAGACTGCCCATCGAGAAACATCCACACTGATCACAAGACGATGCAACTTTTATCACCGTCAGAGTAAAATTCTGATTGGCTATGCAACTGTAGATAATATGTTGGGGCTCCCAGTCATCATTGACTAGTGAAATGTCTTTTTTTCATTTAGATCAGGGAGAGTTGGTAGGTTCTCCACTTACTCATGAGTAACATCTGTAATTACTGTTAGCTAACGGCTTGTTTGTGCAGCGCAAAAGGTGGGGATACAGCCCTAGGCATAACGTCCATCCCAGGCTGGTTGTTTTAAGAAACATATCAATCCGGGTAAACAAGAAGAACGCAGAATAGCAGACAAGAGGAAGGATACAGTGGAAGCTGACCTACCTTACTAGCTCTGCCTCCACCCTCTGGAATTCTCATACACTTTGTACACAGAAACACTGCATCCACTTCCAACACTTACCTTGTTTACCTGCTGTTTCGTCCCTCAAAAAACTCATAACAGCGTACCTCCTGATAAGGGTGGGAGCCAGCAGCAGGCTCCCTCAGTTTGCATGAGTGACTTGGACATTCTTTCCCTTCCCTTTTTTTCCTTCTCTCCTTTCCCTCTCTCCTTCCTTCTTCCCTTCTCTCTTTCTTTCCTGCCTTCTTCTCTTCTCTTTTTCCCTCCTTTCCCTGTTTCCCTCCTTCTTCCCTTCTCTCTTTCTTTTTCTCCTTCTTTCCTTCTGTTTCTTTCCCTCTTTCCTTCCTTCTTTCCTTCTCTCTACTCTCTTTCTTTCCTTCCGTCTTTCCTCCTGTGGCCCAACTGTAGTGAGAAGGGGCTTAAAGTTTAAACCCCTTCTCTCTTCGCTTCCCCGCCCCCAGCTGGGGAAGGGGATGGGAGGCTTTTGAAGATGCCTCCCCCCTTTTGCTTCCCCTTCTGCCATCAGTTCCAGTGATGTCAGGGGGCATGGCATATGCTAATAGCCCAGTAGCTCATTAGCATACCATATGCTAATGAGCTCCTGCAGCTCTTTTTCTACGAAAAGACCCCTGCTTGGAGCACTTCTTGGCCTCAGTTACCTTTCACTAAAAGCACACAGAGTCTCAAGGGTGGGAGTTCAGGGAAAGCTGTTGGGCATGCTTATAATTAAGCCTGGCTCATATAAGAAGCCAAAGAGCAGGCCAGGGAGGAGGTGCCAAGTCTTCTGCATCAGGGGCCTTTGATGGCCCTGAGGTCTTGCCTGGAACCGTGGAGGTGGACAGGGAAGTTTAAGAAGTTGTGGACTCCCTGGATACCCACAGGATAAAACCGGCAGTTATCCCTGAGCCTCCACCCCTCTGTCCTGCTAAATGGCTGTACTGAAAATTCAAATTGCAGTTTTATACGTGAAATTTTTTAAAAAAGTTTTTGCTTCAGCCATTTTACGAAGGCTATGTAAATTTTATATTGGCCAGAATGCTCATTTGCAGTTGGAGGGCACTTGACAGCAGTGACCATGGTCATGTAAATAGCATGACTGATTTTCTAAGGTGACTTTTTAAAAGGCTTACATATAAAGAATATTCAAAGCATTTCAGTTAACGGGTCAGTCCTATCACTTTGAAGCAAATATATCTCTCTTGAGGATTTTAGCATGTAAGCGATGTGCTGCAAGTCCTAAGTGTGCAAAAAAAAAAAAAAGCTTGCTTGAAAGGTAACAAAAACCAGTGCTGCACAGCTAAGGCTCAAACTAGACATTGCATCTTGTGCAGGTTGAGACATGGGTGTCAATTCACTGTCACATGGAAGAACAGGGCTTTGTTGCTTTGTTTAGCTCTGGAGTGCTGTGAGTGGGGAGAAGAGGCATATTCTCATTAACCCCCGTGCTGTTTTCACCTGCAAAAATGACCATAGGGGGCTCCTGTTTGCCCCTTTCTCCAGAGCTAAAGAGGCTGGTCCTGACCCTTGTAAGATATAGCGCTTCGTTTGAGTCTCAAGCCCTTGGTCTTATTTAGTATGACTCTGGCTTATATTGCAAGGATTCTCTCAAGTTTTCTTTGTGATCTATTCAATTTTTGGACAGAATTAGTGGCTCTGGTCTTTAGCCTACTGTTTACCATATTAGTCACTGCTGAGACAGCAAAATGTCATAACATTTATGTTGTGAAGTAATTTCAGGATTATGGCCATCTAGAGATGTGAGGGCCTGAGGTGGGGAGGAAAAACATTTGGGAAATCCCCCCCCCCCCAGGTCATTTTTAAATTTTTCAGAGGGGAAATCTGAAACCCTTCTGAGATATCTGATCCTTTAAAATGGATAAAATGCTTCTTTAGGCAAAGTTTTTCACACTGAAAATGTATAACACAAAAACATTTGAGGACCTTTTCAGTTTTTCCGTTGAAAAACTTGGGACATTTTGACGAGTGCGGGAAAAAACTTCCTATGAAATATTTTCTCTTTTGAGTGAGAAAAACCTTGTCTAACAAAGCACTTCACTCATTCCAAGCACACAGCGTGAAAACTGGGAAATTCTGGGTAGCATTTTTGTTTAAATATAATTTGGCAACAATAATGTATGTTTACTCCTAATACATTATTAAGGAATATAGTGTTTTTAATGTTGTAAGTAGCTGTGGTCGGCAACTAAAAAAAATCAAATAGTATCCAAACATGCTGATACTCCTCCCTATTGTGACTCTGTGAGAGTTTCTGTCCAAATAATATACTTTTTGTTTACATTTACTACAAATGTTGATGTCTACATTCATCGTTTATTTTTCCTCTCAGATGGCAAAACTATATATATATGGCTATGATAGCGTAGGGGAGCAGCCGCTGACTACTCTCTCTCATGTGCTGGATATACTTGCAGTTTTTCTTACAGACAGTGAAGATATTCGTACTTTTAAATCCCATAACTATATGAAGTAGTACAATTTTTATGCTAAGGTATTTGTTGTTGTTCAATCAATAAAAGAAGTTTAGGTTTGATAAGAAAGTATTGTGTCTATTTGAATTTCCCCTCCAAAACTTTGCTTTATTCCCCCCCCCCCCCC